CCTGTCCCGCATTCCGGCTGTCCCTCCGGCTGTCCCCGCTCGGTGGCGGTCGCTGCCCGCGCTCTCCCGAGCGGATTTTCCGTSGCGTTGATCCCGTGTGGAGCGGGAGCGCAGCGGGACACGGCACTGCAGATGGAGCTGTTCATCCTGATGCTGGCAGCGCAGCCAAGCGTAGGCTCCGTTATCGTATTCTTCCTCATTTTTCCCCCACTCTTCATCAAATTTTGTTGGAAAACTTTTAAAATCAGTTTATTATATGAAGACAGCCAACGCTTTGATAACTGATATTGATACAAAGTGTAGCTTCACTAACTAACACATCGGAAAAAAACCCCGATGCATTAAGAGCTGATCGCCTAATGCTGCAAAACAGAAGTGTGGTGAGGAACAAGCAATTCTCAAAYCCAGCACAGCACTGCCATGTCCTGCACGGCTTGGTCTGCAAAGGGCAAAATGAACAGAAAGCTTGAAGGAYTGGTGTCCTGAGTATCACTGCTCCTGTTCTGCTATCAAGAGATGTAAAKAAGGGAGAAAGATGCTCCTCCATGTGAACCTTCAGGTTTGAAGCTGGGSTGGCTGCCAGCAGCTCTGTGATGGTTTTCTGTGGTGATGCTGTGAAAACATCAGGGGCCTTAAATAACATGTGAGAGGTAAATATGATTTAGGCACATGGCACATTCTGTGTTGCAGTTTGGAGGACTTTCAGCCTGGGACAAACATTTTGCTGTTCGCAGTTTTATTCCTCCTCTCAGCTGTGCTGAGTTTCACCAGTGCCCTGTGGTACAAACCCTCCCCGTGAGGCGCTCCCTCTGCTCTGTGTGCAGCACCTCATGCCGTTAATTATGGAGAAAACGATGCTTTTTGCTTTAATTAGCCACGTTGTCCTGTTCTATTTGCATTGGAGTTGCCATCTATCGAGTGGAGACTCTCTACAGTGCCTCACTGCTAGCAGAGAATTAATGGGCTTATTTTCTGAGAAAAAAATCCTTCTTCTAAATACATGGCCTGTATCCCTGGCTGTTGAAAATCCCCCATGTTCAGTTTGTAATGCCATTTCCACAGGTACTGGYCTGACTGCAGAGCTGTTCCTGCCGTATTTAACTCCACAGATTGATGTGGTGGATATTCCTTGATGATTCTATCTCCTGCTCTTCATCCCAGCTGACTTTGCATATGCTAAAAAAGCCTTAGAGCCCAAAAGGGAAACACTTAATCTCCTGAAAAGTCAGAATTTCTCACTAATTTGAAAGGATATGAATCAGGTCGCATCAATCGTCTTTAGCTGCAATGACATCTGAACATGACATTTCTTTAAGGAGCCTATGAAAATCAGTGAAAGATTGACAAATCCTCTGGAAAAAGAAAGGGGGATTTCTTTGATCTCCATATCATATCCATTTTCATAGTCAAAATCACATTTTGAATGGTAGATTTTATTCCAGTTTACTTTCCTGCAGTATGCATTAAGAACAGGGGCAGATACAAATGGGATTTTTTTTTCCTATTATTTATTGTCTTGAAAATATTTTTTTAGCCAGTTCCACGATTCCAGGGTGTGTCTTGTGATTTTAGGATCTTTGGGATGACTGTTAGAGCCGACAGATGTAAGTGATTATTCGGATTATTAAAAATTGCAGCAGAGTGAGGATCAAACCAACAGGAATCTCAGTGGTTAAGGGAGGTTGTGGAGGAGAATTGATGCTGGGTTTGGTTTATGTGTTGGCCCAAGAGCCACGACTCAGTGCCTGGAATTATGTGGCTTGTTCTGGAGTTCAGAATCCACGCTTTTGAATTCGTTAATGAGTCTCATTTCGGATTTGATGACTGTTCAGATTTTAATAAGAGTGCAGATTTGGGAGCTTCAGCCAGCTCTGATTTCTGTCCCCACCCTCGCAGTGCTTTTGCCTCTTGGATCTAAAGCAGGAAAGTGCAAAGGACGGGAACTCTGTCATTGCCCAGGACGGAGAGTCTTTAATAAACGTGTCTGTAAGAACTCAGATGTTCTGAGATGTCATTTCCAGTGGCTTCAGCTGCATTCTCCTTTGTGCAGGTGAATTGGTTTCACAAAGTTGAATGAAACTTTCACGGAGTTGCCTTAACCCTGAGGAGCARGAGACAAATATGTCAGGCTGTAAGAGAAAAGTTGGCACAAATCCWAGAGGCAAAATGTATCATGGTGAAATATTTGTGTAATTAAGAAAAGCTGACTACCTGGATGATCCCAAAACATACACAGTTATAGACAGTGGCTTCTGGCAAAAAGGATTTGGATTAATCACATTAAAAAGGATTTGTACAATGTTTTATTTATACAATTATCCAATTTCGTGTAAGCTTGACATTAAGGCTCAGATAATCAAAGATTTGATTGAATTAAATCTTTTGGATTGGCACAAAGCCTAAACTACTTTTCAAAAATCCAATGTTTTCTGAGAAGTCAGTGTTGGGGTCCCATCACCCCGGGGCTCGCAGCTGTGGGGCCGTGGGAGGCTCTGTGGGGTTTTTATCCCAACCCA